ACTTTTTTAACAGTAACTAAATTGAAATAAAGATTATAAATTTGATGGACAACAATTAGCTGAAATTCTTTACAATTTTTTTTATCTTTAAACAAACAGAGTTGTGTTCAAATCGAAGACATATTGGTTTGATGAACACTAAATATGAAAGAATATAAAAACTTTTCTTTCATGCTTCTGTTTTTGTTTTTTATTTTTATTTTCAAAATTTAGTGTTTTGATATTAATTCTAGATTTGATCATTTTATTAGATGATAGAAACATTTTTTTTTATTCTTTTATTTAAATATATAATATTTTTTAATAACTGACTCTGTGACAATATGACTCTAAATATGATCATATTATATATTTGTATAATATATAATATGATCTCAAACTAAATAATTATGTTTTTTGGTATAAAACTGTATAAACTGAAAATCGATGGTATATAAACCAAATCAAACTGAAGTACATATAGATTTAGAATAGTAGTTATATTTTAAAAATTAAAATACCAAAAAATCGAGCCGAACCGAAACCCGATATCCGGATTGAACACCTCTAATCCGGATGAAACCAAACTAATTGTTTCATTTTCTAAAACATAATAAAAAATAGCTTCATCCCGCGTAAGGCGCGGGTCTTATCCTAGTACTCTGTGTGTTGGTTTTGTATTTGACTGCTACCTTATTATTTATGATCGTATAAAAGTAATTATATTTGTTCACTATTTTAACAAATGTTTGAGCTATTTTTGATTCTAAAGTTTTTAAGCTATAAATAAAAACAAATCCACCTCAGTGAATTAACAGTAATGATCCAGCACTGAATACTTAAAAAAAAAAACAGCATAGATACATAAACGCAACAGGAGTCATGTTTCCTGTTAAAGAACAAGACAAAATGAAGTCGCACTTCTGTTTACGAGTCATAAACGCAACAGAGATACACAAAGAAAGCTTTCTGAGTTCTAATTGCTATTGTAACCATCGTCATCGTTATCTTTATCTTCATGGTCTTTCACCACTCGTTCTATGAACTGTCTTCGAACACCAGCCATCACAGCTTCCCTTGAGGAGTCATCGTGTTCTATTTTCCCATCGTTAGGAACTGGCTCTGATTGACACAAAACTAAAGCTACACCTACAAAAGCAGCAACCTTATTCAGACATCATTTACCCTTTTGGTATATGACCATTCTGCTGAAAGCATGACAAGATGCAATTGAATGAGACTCCAAACTTACTCTCTGGGGTGCACCTACGACCAACACTCTTCAACCCTACATGGGTTCCTTTAACAGCACCGTGATGGTATACACCAGCAAGGTAGGAAGATAACAATCAGAATAGTTACGAATACAACTGATCTGGTGTTCAAAAAAAGAAAAAAAAAAGACATCCAACTGATCTATACTAAAAACTTCCGTTTACTAAAAACTATGTGGTTACTAATTATTCATCATCTAAAAATAACTATCAAAGCATCCAAAAATAACTAATTTAATATATGTCTTCTCTACTATATAAGCACCAATAACCTCTTATTCATAATCACACAGAGCAAATTCCAAATACAATTAAATAAATAAATAAAAATAATTGAGCTCCTAATTGGAGTTTCTTTTATAAAGTATTTATTTATTTAATTTATTTGGAAAATTACAAATAACAAATAATTAATAATATGGGGATGTCTAAAATTATCAAAGTTATTGTCTCTCTGGCTCTCGTGGTGTTCTTGGCTCTTGCAGCAACCAAGACAGAGGCAAAACTCATGCCACCACAATGGTTAAAGTATGAACCCATTAAAATTGGAGATCACAGTTTCGGTTGTGATAAAGAAAAACACCCTAAAAGCTGCAAGCCGGAACAAGCCAATCCTTACCACAGAGGATGCCATCCAAGCCAACGTTGCCGTCTAGACCAAACAAAGTGATACAACCAAGTAGAGCACCACTCTTGGTTAACTTTTACAAATGGCATCCCCATATTAATATCAAATGATTAATTTCATCCCGTTGTTATTTATCTTATACTCTGTGTGTTGGTTTTGTATTTGATTATTGCTTTATTATTTATGATCGTATAAAAGTAATTATATTTGTTCACTATTTTAACAAATGATTGAGCTATTTTCGTATTCTTATCATGAAAACGAAAGTAAATTTTCACTATTGTCCTTTTTCTTTACCAAATCACCCTAACTAAAAATCACTTTTAATTGCCATGCATCATCCTAAAGGCTAGTGGTAATCTATGATATGGATGCTGTAGAGATGGGAATGAGCAGTGTGGGAGGAAGAATGGGTTTTTCGGGTAGTGACTGTGGCAAACAAAGAAGTTCACTTTGTGTGTGAAGTTGGCTTGGTTGGTGCAGAGATGTGGGTGAGGGGAATAAGACTTGTTAGAGAAGCTATTTGTGGAAGAACTCAGTTTCAGAATTAGTGTGTTTCCTTTTTTTTTTTATATAAAGGAGTTTTGAGAAGTGACAAAAAAAAAAAAGTTTTGAGAAAGGGAGCTTCGTTCTGAAGGTAGTGTGCTTCTGTTGTGTTGAGGAGTGTTTATAGGGTTGGGTTTGCAAAAAGAATATCATAAACGCAACAGAGATTCTAAAGTTTTTAAGCTATAAATGAAAACAAATCCACCTCAGTGAATTAACAGTCAAGATCCAGCACTGATACTTAAAAAAAAAAAAAAGCAGCATAGATACATAAACGCAACAAGAGTCATGTTTCCTGTTAAAGAACAAGACAAAATGAAGTCGCACTTCTGTTTACGAGTCATAAACGCAACAGAGATACATAAAAGAAAGCTTTGTGAGTTCTAATATCTATTGTAACCATTATCATTCATCGTTATCTTTATCTTCATGGTCTTTCACCACTCGTTCTATGAACTGTCCTGCCATCACAGCTTCCCTTGAGGAGTCATCGTCTCCACTTTTCCCATCGTTATTCAGACATCATTTACCCTTTTGGTATATGACCATTCTGCTGAAAGCATGACAAGATGCAACTGAATAAGACTCCAAGCTTACTCTCTGGTTAAACCGAATAATACCGACGCTATTGCTTAATTAATTCATACCGGTCCGATAATAACTGGTTTAATCGACAGTTAACAATCGGTTTATGCGTTTGGAGTATCTGTCTCGAACCGAACAATACCAAAGCTATTCCTTATTTGATTCATACCGATCTGTTAATACCCAATTTACAAGACGGTTATCAATAGGTTTACACATTTGGACTAACGAACCGTCTTATAACAAGACCCTCTGATTCAATCAGAGTATTATCCACTCTTTCCCTTTTTTCCTTTTTTAATGAAGAAAGATCCAAAGACAATTAAAACACAGTTGAGATTTTTCTCTAAGAGGGCGATCGATTAGGGTTTGTTTTCATCGGAATAAACTATTTGATCGGAGACATGACCTCGACCATGGAGGGCGTGATAAAGTCAATCCAAGGTCTATCCTCGACCTCCGGCGACTTATCTTCGCTCCACCGTCTTCTGAAAGGAGCCGAGGAGACGCTCCGAAGCGAATCGGATCTCCAAATCTCTACTCTTGACCAGCTCGACGCTTCGAAGCATTCTCTCGGTTATCTCTATCTCCTGTGAGTTTTACTCCTACTCTGATTTGTTTCGGTATATATATTCTCTTGGAGCTGATTTGTATTTTGTTTCATTGTTTCAGCGATGCTCTCACGTGTGGTCCAATGTCGAAGGAGCAAGCTTTTGATGTGGTTGTGTTAATTGCTCGGTTTATTGATTCTTGCGATGCTGAGCAGATTCGTTTAGCCAGCGACAAATGTAACCACTCACTCTTTTATAGTCTCCGTGTCACAATAGATAATTTTTGTTTTTTAATAAGTATCAGTTTTGGGTTTTAAATGGAAAGTTTATTAATTTTATTATGTAATTTATTTTTATATTGGTTGAAATATGTTTTAGATGTATAAGTAATTGTGTTTTTATATAGAAAATATGCAAAATTTGTTGTTATTATCATTTGGTGGAGGTGATGAGTGTTGTTATTTTGGTTTTTGCAGTTTTCTGTTTTATTTTATGTTATTTATTTGGTTGAAATATGTTTTAGATGAATAGGTAATTGTGTTTTTTATATAGAAAATAAGAAAAATTAATTGTTATTATCTTTTGGTGGAGATGATGAGTGTTGTTATTTTGGTTTTTGCAGTTGTGTCTCTTTGTAAGAGATTTAAAGAGAAAGTTTTGGAGCTTAGAGATTCTTTACGAGGTGTGGCACCGTTGTTGACAGCTGTTCGTAAGGTTCAGGTGTCCACCAAACGTTTGACTGCTTTGCATCCGGATTGTCTTCAACTGTGTTTGCAGGCTAAGTGCTATAAAGCTGGTTTCTCCATTCTTAGTGATGATATCTTGGAGGTTGACCAGCCTAGAGATTTCTATCTCTATTGCTATTATGGGTAAAGCCAGTCTATCCATTTGAGCTCCTATATTAGATTCTCATTCTTGATCCTTATGTTAATATACGAGAAGTAACTTTCTTATAATGTACTCTACACTTATGTCAGGGGAATGATATGCATTGGACAGAAGAAATTCCAGAAAGCATTAGAGCTTCTTTACAATGTAAGGCATTCTATTTACTTTCTTACTTGTTTTTAGTCATCATGGACTATTTTGCTTTAGTTTTAACTCGATGAAGTACCTTTTCAGGTTGTTACTGCTCCAATGCATAGTGTCAACGCCATAGCTCTTGAGGCCTATAAAAAGTACATATTGGTCACTCTCATTTACTCTGGACATGTAAGGCTTTGTTTCTACTTCGTTTTTTGTATATGTAGTTTTCTGTCGTGGGAGTGATCATGCATGAGCATGATCCATTGGATGTTTTGAGTAATGTTTTTTTTTTTGGAGTAATGTTGTTTTTGACTTGGTCTATCCTGTGTCGATTTTTCTCTTTAAGCATTGGTTTATCTTTTGATGTTATTCTTATAATATTGTATTATTTTACTTGTGCAGTTTAGTATCAGTCTCCCAAAGTGCGCTTCTACACCAGCTCAGAGGAGCTTCAAGACCTGGTGTATAGTAAGTTTGAATTGTAGCCGTTATATATGTGTCATTTGTCTATGCTATGAATCCTCTTTGGGTAATAGGTACTGTAGCTGGTAATATAATGAGTTGGTTTTCCATTTAATGATGCCTAGTCTCATTTTCAGTTCAATCCAGTGAACTCAGCTGCTGTGTACCCTGTACCAGCTAGATTTATATATAGCTTATATTTTTTTTTATCATTCACCCTTTTGTCAGCCTTACACTGAAGTGGGAAATTGCTTCAACGAAGGGAAAATCAGGGAACTAGAGGCAGTGGTTGTGGCCAACAGCTCAGATTTTGAAAAGGTAAATTTCCCCTAAACTCTCACTTGTTAGTTGTTACTGACAGTAATCTTCCTAGTTTCTGTACTGATATAATCTTCATTCACCGTATTTTTCAGGACAATAACCTTGGATTAGTAAAGCAAGCTGTGTCATCCCTTTACAAGCGGAACATTCTGAGATTGACTCAGAAGTATTTGACCTTGTCGCTTCAGGATATAGCCAACATGGTCCAGCTTGCTAATGCTAAGGAGGCGGAAATGCATGTGCTTCAGATGGTACTGTATTCTATGTGTTGTACTCTTGATTTTTGGAAGCTAACACGTTATGTCATGTTTTTTCTTACCAAACATGCAGATCCAGGATGGTCAGATACATGCTCTTATCAACCAGAAAGATGGAATGGTCAGATTCTTGGAGGACCCTGAGCAGTACAAAACCAGTGAGATGATAGAGGTCATGGATTCTGTCATCCAAAGGTATGCCTAGGAACCAAATACTTCGCTGTCACGAAACCAAGTTCTATGCTTTTCTTTCTTTTGTTGGTTTGGGGAACATGGTTTGGATGTTGATACTCCTAGGCCACGATGCCTTCTCTGGAAAAAAAACGAAACAGAAAAACCTCGATCCTCTTTTGTTTCTGAGTCGGTGATTAGCACCACTAGGGATGAAATTCATACAGAATTGATGTTTTTGTTTAGCTGGAGTAGAGTATAAGAATCAAAGAAGCTGTGTTTATATGATTTTCAGGACTATAAAGCTGTCGAAGAATCTCATAGCCATGGATGAGAGCTTGTCATGCGATCCTTTGTACTTGGGAAAGGTAATTTAATACCATGTTTTCATGGACTGTTCTGTCCTAGAACTTGAGTATCCCAGAGACTAAACCGTTGTCAACTTTTCCTCAGGTTGGAAGGGAAAGGCAAAGGTATGACTTTGGAGACGATTTTGATACTGTCCCTCAAAAGTTCTCCATGTAAAACAACAAGAAGATCTGAAGGAACAAAACTTGGCTCAAAGACAACCCTAGTTGTGAATCTGGTCAACGTTTCTTTGTTTTTATTTTTTTTTCGGTTGTGAAGTTTCAATGGGCAACAAGTTAGAGAAGATCATTTTGGACCCGCAAATCTTTATTACGAACTACGCCCTACATTGCATCAATGAGCAGAATGTGCAATTCCTTCTATTTATTTATTTATAAAGCTTTAAGAGATGACATTGGGGTTATAGAGGTTCGGTACATGCTGTTGGAAGTAAAGTCCAGTCTGCTTTAGAATTTGAATACAAAGTACTCTAATGGCCTTGCAACATTGCTGGATTATGTAAACTCTTCAAAGAATGAAGTTATAAAAAAGAAAGCCTTGTGTTCAAAAAAAAAAAAAAAAGAAAGCCTTAAACTGCGTACCGTTTTTGATGAATCTGATTGGCTGTCGTCCCGTTGTGGTTTAAGGTTTGGGCTAGATTAAACCCATACCTCAAAGGCTTTACTATCTCGAAAAGAGGCACGTATATATTTATTCTCTTTAAATCATTTTGTCATTGACATTTCGTTTTCAACCTTTCCCTCTCTTATCCTCAATAAAAAAAAAAAAAACATCTGACAAACACACAACAAACTCCTCAGAATCGCCGCGGGAGAATCTTTTGCGGTTAGAAAGAATCAGAATCTTCAGTAAATCGCTAATTCCGATGGAAGGTGTCGTCACATGTTTCCATACCAAATGCGTCTCTCTTCCAGCTAGTTCTGGGGTTTCTCCACTTTCTCAGTGGAGGAAACGTAACTTGTACGTTTCTGCAGCTTCGAGCTCAGATACTTTACTCGCAGGCGGGTCACACGAGAGACAGAACAAAGTATCGAGCAGGAAGAAGGAAGGAGATGACTCTGAGGAGGATTTGAAGCGTTGGATGGATAAGAAAGGGTTTGCCACCTTGCAAGGTTTTGCTAAAGGAGAGACCTGCTCATGATCCGAAGCATAAACCCCCATACATTAGAGCATGTCCATCCATTAGAACCCATTAGAGGTTGTAATGATTAAATTAAAAATAAAAAAGGTGATTTGGCAAGTTTAGGACCTTGGTTAATGGACATAAAATTTTCCTCCTCCAATGGAGGGGTTCTTAAAGAAGCTATAAAACATGAAACATATACATATTGTCTTCTTGTGTCACAAGCAATGTCACAATTCATAAAGCTAGAACAAAAAAGTAACATGTCAGTATGAAAGAGTAATCTTGTGTCACGAGCTTCTCATGTCTACTCACATCTGCAATGCAAACATAGAGACAACAGAAACATCAAACCACCACAGACTAACAAAGACTGAAAGCAACATCAGACCACCACAAAGACTGAAAGCAACATTATGTGAGTCGCTTCTTTACTTCTCCCTGTAACATTCTTCCTTCTCCATATTCCTTATACACAGTACGGTTAAAATTTTGAAACTCAGTTGTGGTTTACAGCATAAGTGAGTATTCACTTCCAGACAATGAATACATGTACAACAAGGAGATAAAGAGTAAAGTGATAGCTGCAGAAGAAAATAATAAATCCTTTACTAAGCAAAAAAACAACGAGACCTAGTGTTAATAGTACTTACCTTCTATGCGTAATCAAGAGAAAGCAGCAGCAGTCATTGGCTTCTTCCTGGAAAAAAATATTCAAAAGGAAAGAAGAATAGTTCATTTAAAACAGCCAAGACAAAGAGAAATTTACTAATGCACAGAGAAGCTATTACTTGTAAGAACCAACTGCGTGACATGTCCAGCTAGAGTCCTTGTCGCTGTTGCATACCCAAATCTAAAACACCAAAAGTGATATCAATGACTATTTAAAAGATAACAGTGAAGAGATATAACACAAAATCAGTAAGCACCTCTTCAGCAACCCTGCAATCTCAGACTCCATCCTCAGCTTCATGTTCCTGTAATCAAAATGCGAGTTCTCAAACTTCTTCAACTCCTCCAGCTTACTCCTCCTCCTCTCTTCTGTCTCCTTCAGACACAACCTCTGTTGAGGTTCCTATGAGTAAACTTACAATTGAAAAACTGAATGATGATGTTAGAGGCATTTTGCGGAGAGATCTGTTTATTCTTTAGCTTCTTCACCATTTTATTAGCTTTGAGATGCAATGCTTTGCCTTTACCATCATCACTTCCACGAAAAAGATTTGAAACGCAATCAAGTTCCTTGATAAGAGTCTCAAGTCACCAGTTCTTAGCGCAACACACAAACACATCCTTAATTAGCCCAAACATCTCTGATCAGATTCTTCTGAATCCCACAAACATCACACCCAACCCAACTACCACCTTCAACGCCACAAATGGAAGATCCTCTAGCGTAACCGAAAGGTTTATATACAGATTGAAAAATGAGATTGAGAGAACTGAGAGAACGAATCTCGACTTGCGTGAGCTAGCTTGGTAGCCATGGGTCCGAAACGATTACCCCCACGCCAGACATCAATCTCTCTGTAAAGAGAACGAGGTGAAGATCAGAAGCTAGAGAGAAGATGGAGTGATTGGGAATGGAGGAGGAAGAGAGAAAAAGATTCCATGAAAAACATCGAGGAAGAAGAGAGAGAGGGGCTTTGCCCCCAAAAAAATAGAAGAAGAAGAAAGACAGGGGAATCCAATAACAAAGGGGGGTTTTAACTAATTCTACCAATGCCATATTCAGCACCGGTTATGTGCTTTTAACCTATTTTTGATTTTTTTTTTTTTTCTTTTTTTGGTAGAACCCCTTTTAAGACCCTCCGATGGAGGTGGTCTTATGTTGCTGCTAGTGAGGATCTTCAGGTGTCTATCTCTTCAATAGTTTTTACCGTCGTTTTATACACTTCTTATTGTCGTTTTATACAGGTCTAACTCCCTTTTTTTATAATTACAGAAGGGTGACGTGGCGTTTTCAGTTCCGAACTCTTTGGTAGTCACACTTGAAAGAGTGTTGGGAAATGAGACTATTGGTATTATTTTAACCACGATGTCTAAAGTTTGTGACATTCTCTTACGTGGTTGCAAATTGAAGCTTATATATGTAGCCCATTAAACTCTCTTTTTATTCAGTACAGCCGAACTGTTAACTACGAACAAGTTGTCTGAATTGACGTGCCTAGCTTTGTATTTGATGTATGAGAAGAAACAAGGGAATAAGTCAGTATGGTATCCCAAAGAACTTAATCGTCAAAGAGGACGAGGTCAGCTTGATGTTGAATCCCCCTTGCTCTGGTCTGAAGCTGAGTTGGAATACCTAACTGGTAGCCCGACCAAGGATCTTGAGAGGGCTGAGAGGATCAAAAGAGAATATTTGGAGCTTGACACTGTCTGGTTTATGGCTGGATCTTTGTTTCAGGTGTTTGTTTATTGAAGTATGATTCCTATGATTCCTATAAGGCTTAGGAATTCGTACATCTATATTTAGATAAGGATTTAATCATGTTTTCCCAGATTACTTGGGCTTTAAGTTTTCCTGTTTTTGAAATACTTTACTTGGTATATATACCAAGCTTCATTCTCAATAATATTCAAGCTTTCATTAATCTCATAATTAGATTTGTCATGGTATCAGAGCTTAAACAAAACTAAAAACATCATCATCATCATCTTAGATTACGCGATTCTTTAAAGTTTCGTGATTTCTACATCTCAAAACATCAATCTCTTTTCAACATCTTCATCATCTTCTTCATCAACAATGTCGATTACTCCTGCAACAGGCGAAATCAAATACAAAACTATCTCACCATATGATTTATCATCTAATGACAATCCAGGTGCTGTGATTTCTCAACCACTACTCAACGGATCAAATTACGACGAATGGGCTATAAACTTTCGAATGGCAATCAGTTCACGGAAGAAATATGGCTTTCTTGATGGTAGTCTACCAAAACCAGCAGCTGATTCACCGTATCTTGAAGACTGGACAGCAAATAATCATCTAATCATCGGATGGATAAAACTAACTATTGAACCAAAGATCAAATCTTCTATCTCAACCCGAGAGATCGCAAAAGACTTATGGGACATAATCAAAAAGAGATATTCAGTCAAGAGCGGAGCACGTCTTCAACAACTACGGAACGCGTTGGCCAATTGCAAGCAAAACGGGTCTCCGGTTGATGAGTACTTCGGTCGGTTAACAAAAATATGGGATGGAATTGCTGATTGTATGAACTCCAAGCAATGTAGCTGTGGAAAGTGCGAATGTGACCTAAATACAGCAAGAGATCACGAGACAGAGATGCTTCGAGTTCATGATTTTTTATCAGGGTTGGACGATGCTACACATGGAGTAATACGCTCTCAGATCTGTGCAATCTCACCTCTCCCAGATCTTGACAGTGTGTATCAAACCGTCTCACAGAATGAAATTATCAGATCTTCCATCACTACAGAAACTCCCATTGCGAGCTTTGCTTCTCAAACACGGCAACCACTTACAAGAACAAACACATCTCGACCTGCAAACAAGGACCCTACGAGACAATGTACCGTCTGTGGCCGAACTGGACACGAGGCTTCAGGTTGTTTCACGGTTATTGGTTATCCAGACTGGTGGGAAGGAAATCAAAAACCAAGGGTTCCTAACAAAGCAACAACAAAACAATCTGAATCAGGAAAAGGCGTTGTACCAAAAGCTAACACAGCAAGAGTTGCAACAACCTCTTCTGCAAAGATTCGAGCCAACGTAATCATTACCGATGCAGATCGACAAGGCTTAAGTGGAATCACTGATGAACAATGGGAGATCGTTCAAAAATTAATCAACAAAGGAACAACCAGTGAGCATCTAAAGGGTAAGGGTGATAATGAATGTGTATGGATCCTAGACACGGGAGCTACACATCATATGACGGGTCGTCTCGATGTAATGGAGAATACACGTGATATCACACAAATACCAGTCCTATTGCCTCTTGGTTCTGAAGCAACTGCTTCTAAACAGGGAACCGTTAAGCTTACTCCAAAGTTACACATTCGGAATGTGTACTATGTGGATGGCTTTCACATAAATCTCATCTCTTTTGGACAACTTGTTACAGATAATTTTCTGGTTGGACAAGTTACTGATAAACTAATGATATTACAGGACCGTACCTCGAGGATGCTGATTGGAGCGGGTGAAAGAGAGGGAGAGGGATTGTACCGGTTCAGGGGGATTGAGACAATGGCGTCACTTCAGAGTTAGCAACACAGTTCTATGGCACAGGCGCCTTGGGCATCCATCTTCTCGGATTACGGGCATGATCTCTGCATCTGAAAATTCATCGTCTAGACATGATGATATCAAAACTTGTGATATTTGTTTTCGCGCAAAGCAGACTAGAGAAAGTTTTCCTGATAGTCTTAATAATGCAAAAGAGATTTTTGATTTAATACATTGCGATCTTTGGGGACCATATAGAACAACATCGATATGTGGCTCACGCTACTTTCTTACAATAGTTGATGATCACTCAAGAGCAGTGTGGCTTTATCTTCTTCCAGACAAAGCCATGGTTGCACAACAGCTCAAAGATTTCTTGGCGTTTACTGAAAGACAATTCTCAAAGAAAGTAAAAACTTTGAGAAGTGATAATGGAACAGAATTCGTATGTCTTACGAAATTTCTTAAAGAAAAAGGAGTTATTCACGAAACATCTTGTGTATACACACCTCAACAGAACGGACGAGCTGAACGCAAGCACCGGCATATTCTCAACATCGCCAGAGCCTTACGTTTTCAGGCGAACCTACCAATCGAGTTTTGGGGAGAGTGTGTGTTAACAGCTGCTCATTTGATTAATCGTACGCCATCACCAATTCTCCAGCAGAAGACTCCGTTTGAAATATTACATGGACAGCCGCCAGTAATGTCACATCTACGTGTTTTCGGATGTCTAGCTTACGCTCACAACAAGAACACTAATGGTGACAAGTTTGCTTCTCGCAGCCGAAAGTGTATTCTTTTAGGATACTCATCGGGTACTAAAGGCTGGAAGTTATTTGATCTGGAGCAAGAATCTGTGTTTGTATCAAGAGATGTGGATTTCCAGGAAGATGTATTCCCATATCTTGAGAAACACTCATCTTCAACAACAAACGACGCAATCATGCCACCTGCAACAGCATCAGATACAGCAGATGATACTAGGCAGTCATCTGTCCTCAATCCATCACCGTCTATCTCAGAAACAGAGCAAGCAGCGACAGAACCTCTGGGACGCGGCCATAGAACACGCATACCATCTACTCGCTTACGCGACTTCGTCATCAACTCGGTTACAACAATCCCCTGTACTCCCTCTCTCCCGTCTTCCATTCCAATACCATCCTCAGGTTCGTACTATCCTCTATCAGATTATTTATCTTATGACCGTATATCTTCTAAGCATCGCAGCTATATCCTCGCTCTGTCAACTAATATTGAACCAAGACACTTCAAGCAAGCTATGAAAGACAAAGTGTGGCGTGATGCAATGCAAGCTGAGATTGAAGCTCTTGAAAGGAACCATACGTGGGACCTTGAAGAACTTCCATCTAATAAGAAAGCCTTAGGATGTAAGTGGGTCTATACAATCAAACTTCGGTCTGATGGAACTATTGAGCGATACAAGGCTCGATTGGTGGTATTGGGTAATAACCAGAAAGAAGGACTAGATTATACAGAGACGTTCTCTCCAGTAGCAAAGATGACTACTGTTAGGCTGTTTCTGGATATTGCGGCGACGAAAAATCATGAGATTCATCAAATGGACGTTCATAACGCCTTCTTACATGGGGACCTTGAGGAAGAAGTATACATGAAACTCCCTCTTGGTTTTCATAATCCGGATGAAACTCGCGTGTGTCGCCTTCGAAAGTCATTATACGGCCTCAAGCAAGCACCACGATGTTGGTTCGCAAAATTGGTTGAAGCACTTTCAAAGTACGGGTTCACTCAAACACATTCAGATCACTCATTGTTTGTTTTTTCGAAGAAGGATACTACACTTCGGATTCTTGTCTACGTTGACGATTTAATCATCTCTGGAGATTCAAATACAGCAATTAACTCTTTCAAAGCATATCTGTCGACATGTTTTCATATGAAAGATCTTGGCACTCTGAAATACTTTCTTGGTTTAGAGGTAGCACGGAGTTCTCAAGGTATTTACTTATGCCAACGTAAATATACATTGGACATTGTCACCGAATGCGGGCTCTTGGGATGTAAACCAGCTGGATCACCTATGGATCAGAATCACACTTTGGGACGCTCACAAGGAGAAGGAAATCTTTTACCTGATCCGGAACGTTATCGACGTCTTGTTGGCCGTCTCATCTATCTCTTGGCAACACGACCGGACCTTGCTTATTCTGTCCACATCCTGTCTCAATTTATGCAAAAGCCCAGAGAAGAGCATTGGCTTGCAGCTGTTAAAACTGTGCGCTACTTGAAAGGCACGATTGGTCAAGGTGTTCTTTTTCGAGCTAACACCACTTTTCACATAACTGGTTGGTGTGATGCTGACTGGGGGGCTTGTAAGATAACACGACGTTCATTAACCGGCTGGATTATACAGTTTGGGACATCTCCTATATGTTGGAAAACGAAGAAACAAAAAGCTGTTTCACTTTCTTCTACCGAAGCAGAGTTTCGGGCCATGAAAGCTATCACCAAGGAGCTCATTTGGATCAAAGGGCTTCTCGTCGAACTTGGTTTTCCACATGAGGGTCCAATGACGATATGCTGCGACAACAAATCAGCTTTGCACATTAGTGCGAATCCAGTTCTTCACGAGCAAACGAAACACATGGGGATCATTTGTCAGTTTGTTCGAAATCAAATCATCAAGGGGGTAATCCATACAATTCACGTCTCAAGTCAAGAACAACTTGCAGATATTTTAACAAAGGCATTGGGAAGGAAGGAGTTTGATGCATTTCTTCTCAAGTTAGGCATTAACAATATCCATGCTCTAACTTGAGGGGAGGTATTGAAGTATGATTCCTATAAGGCTTAGGAATTCGTACATCTATATTTAGATAAGGATTTAATCATGTTTTCCCAGATTACTTGGGCTTTAAGTTTTCCTGTTTTTGAAATACTTTACTTGGTATATATACCAAGCTTCATTCTCAATAATATTCAAGCTTTCATTAATCTCATAATTAGATTTGTCATTGTTTTCGCTCTCTACCTAAGACTTCACCTTCTTGTTTCTTTATGGAATGTTAAGAACGGTGTACTTTACATCACGTGATTTGTGTGTTTGCAGCAATACCCATTTGACATACCAACTGAAGCTTTTTCATTTGAGATTTTCAAACAAGCATTTGTTGCCATTCAGTCCTGTGTGGTGCATTTACAAGTAATGTTGGATCTCGTTCGTTTTATTTCAAGGTGTGGGCCACAACCCAATGCGAAGTTGCTTTTCAACTATGGATTCGTTGATGAAGACAACCCTTACGATAGAATAATCGTTGAGGTAATTATGAAACTTTAGTGTCTTTACTGGAAACTTCTTCATGTGATTTTCTCAGTGCTAACATGTTTCTTGCATTTCCAGGCAGCGCTAAGCACCAATGATCCTCAATATCAGGACAAGAGATTGGTTGCTCAAAGGAACGGAAAATTATCTCAACAAGTTTTCCAGGTATAACGTGTGACTTTCCCCTATGAACAAGGCTACTTTATGATGTTCTTTCCTAATTTTTTTGGGTTCCGCATCCACCTCAGGTTCGTGTGGGAAAAGAAATATAAACTGTTCAAGACATGCTTCCCTACCTGCGATTGGGTTATATGTCTGATCCTGCTGAAATGCAATCAGTTATTTCGTCACAAGGTCCAGTTTGTTCAGTAAGTACAGGATGAGTGACCTAGCAGACCATTTTGTTATATATTTTCTTGTCTCAGTCTCAATTTGTGAGGTTTCGCTAATGTTACTTGTCACATAAAACTACTTGTAAAGGTTTGTAACTCTCATGAGGTCTGTTTGTGTAGATGAGCCCTTGCATGGAAAGAGCAGTACTAGATCAGCTTGTCTCGCTACCCTACTACCTTGAAAGAAGATGATGCATTGGTAATATCTTCAAGACTTTGTAATCTCTTCATTTTTTTCTGGTTTTTTCTGCATTATGTTTAATAGAATTCGTAACTCAATAGTTGGCAGATCCTAGTCTGAATCCTAGGAAGCGGGTTGCCACACGGCTTGTCCGATTGGAGAAGAAAATGCTAGCTGCATGCCTTGTGGCAACAGTCGATTTTTTTTAAATGAGTTGCCTGATACAACCATCTCTCCGTGTCCAGCACTCTACGCACCCTCCTTGAAATAAGAAGGCGCGTATTGTTGAACTTTTCTTTGGGCTTGGCCCCTCTTATCTCACGCAGCTCCAACTATGTTTTTATTCTTGTTCACTCTTTGTTTTTGTCTTGTGTTTAATCATAACACAAGCACACATACACTCTCTTTACTCTCACGTTTCTTTATGTTGTAGAGAGAACACTTTTCATGTCTACATTTTTTTTATTGATTTTTTGATGCATTCTTACAATACCCACTTGTAGAGAGAACACATATTTAATCAAAGGATTTTTTGATGCATTGTAGAGAGAACACATATTTATAGTAGTTTTCTCTAACTACTACACACACATATTTAGACTTTTTATCATAACCATTCCCACTTGTCTATACCTAGACTAAGTTTACAAGAAAAGTCTAAACACTTCAACAACTTCTTTGACTTCTCCTTGGCTCTTGTCTCTTTCACACTTTTCTTGTTCTTTCTTTTTCTTGTTCTTTCTTTTTCTTGTTTAACACGTATCTCTGTCCTATTTTCTCAAATAATAACTAATATTCTCTGATCTTCTAAAACAATGTCGATGCAGGTTCCTGTTGTAGTTGCAACTGGTGGGGACATTGGAAGAGTAATTGTTGGTCCTTTGATCATTATAAAATCTGTGGTCATTTAACTAAGCTCAATTTTGTGTGTAACAAGTCTGATCCTGTTGTATACTGCTGGAAAATATGTACTACGAAGTTTCTCAATTAATTTCGTAAGTTTTCTTGATAGCTGCCATCCCTAAATCTCTCTCTCTTTGACGATACAATGTTTAATTCTTGTGAAATTAACCAAATCCTACCCGAATATGTATGTACTTATCTTTTCATTCAGATTTACACAATTTTTAATTCTTACACGCACGTACACGTTGTCAAGAATTCACGCCGTGTTGGACACATGATTATACGTAGAAAACAAAATTATCATACTCTTACACAGGTGTTTTGTCTTTTTTCTCATCTTGGTAGTTATTTCTCTAGTTCATCTATTAAAAATATTTCGCAAAAGAATTTTTTTCTTTTTCTCTTCTTTCTTTCTGGTCTGTATATTTGCTTACTAAAAATAATAGATTGATCATTCGCTATATTTGTGTATTTTAGTTCTCTTTCTTGTTCTTCCCACCAGTACCTTTCTCTCTCACATTCTTGAATTACATGGAAGCAACAAGAAAAGTTGATCATGAAAGTTTTGATTTTACAAAATTGCCACCCTCTAAATGGGGTGATCACTTCCTCACTGTGACCGTCACTGACTCGGTGAGTCTTTAATATGTATATAAATACTCTAATATAGATGCATAATTCGTTGTATATTACATGCTTGTCTAACGATCTATGAGTTGTGTTAACTTTAAGGATCTTGATGCTCTTGCAAAAGAAATTGAGGTACTGAAACCTAAAGTGATGGACATGACTATTTTGTATTCCCAAGATGATGACGAGGCGACGATAAAGAGGAAAATTCTTGTAATCCATTTTCTAGTTAGTCTTGGTCTGGCCTATCATTTCGAGAATGAGATTGAACACATAGTGAAAGTTGCTTTCGAGAAGATAACGGACTTGATCGCGGATGAGAATGACTTGTACATGATTTCTATCATGTTTCGAGTTTTCAGAACTTATGGTCACAACATGTCATCGGGTAAGAAACTTGGACATGTCATATCTTATATATTAAAACAGAAGTCACAACCTAGATTCATGTGTGATTTTTTTAAAAATGGACTATTCCTTAAAAAGATTATGAAGGTTATCAAATGTTACATAATTTAATGATAATATCTTTAAATATCTTTATTTTTTTATTTGAAATATAAATGAAATAAATCCAACAAAATCTTTTTGACATCTTTTTAAATTTTA